TGGTATAGAGTGAAAGACATCCAAGGGGTAGCTTGCCTTCATGTAGGAGGGAGTTGGTGAATTCACCATCTTCATTTTACTGGAACACAGACCCTGGAGGAGGTTAAATGTTGAGACTGATGCATTCACTCTCCTGGAAACTTTCAAATTCCCCAGTTCCTCACTGCCATAAAACCAAGTCGACTAACAACTAGCCTGAGCACAACCTATCCCCCATGGCACCATAGGAAATCTTACTCACCCAGTACAGAAGAAAAGCAAAATGGAATGTGTTGAAAGTAGGAAGAGGACTTGGATCACACCCAGAAAAAGTGGTCCCCTCTTGTGAATTTAATAAAGAAAAACATGTGACAAGGTGGAGAATTTTGTTCCTCAGAATTCAAACTGATATTCCTAAACAAGGAGGCCAGATCCTAGGAAAACTGTGTGTCCTTGGGCACTGGCCACAGACAGCGGATACAGCAGGAGGTGCAAGCCCTATTTGGGTGTGGTTCAGTCAGTCTCCACTGAACAGGTGATAACTTAAAGGTTAAAGGAAGGGAGCAGGGGCGCCTGGGTGGCGCAGTCGGTTAAACGTCCGACTTCAGCCAGGTCACGATCTCGCGGTCCGTGAGTTCAAGCCCCGCGTCGGGCTCTGGGCTGATGGCTCAGAGCCTGGAGCCTGTTTCCGATTCTGTGTCTCCCTCTCTCTCTGCCCCTCCCCCGTTCATGCTCTGTCTCTCTCTGTCCCAAAAATAAATAAAAAACGTTTAAAAAAAAAAAAAAAAGGAAGGGAGCAATGAGTGGATTGTTTCCAAAAGGTTAGGTGGAATCAATGAACAAATAAGGAAGGATGAAGCACCTGGGACTAGTGTCAGTAGAAAACCACTGTTTCCCCTAGGCGTGGAGGGGCAAAGAAGTGTCTGAGTTAGAATTCTCCCAGAAGCAGAGGCTGAGATAAGAATTCCAGAGGAAGCAGTTTATGTGAGAAGTAAAGGAAACACAAATAGGGATGTAAGGATATAAGACAGGGAAGGAATTGATGCCAATAAAGATCAACCAGCAATCACTGCGGGTAATTGGAACTTAACACGATGGGTAAATTCTGCCAGCCAGGGTAAAACACAGACCATTAGGGGAGTCACCCCAGTGCAAGGGAGCCACCATGGCCCCAGGCTGAGGTTGGAGGAATGACCCACTTTGGAATGGTAGAACCCCAAAAGGTAAGAAGGGCATCCATGAAGTGGGAGAACCCAGTTCAAGGAGTCAGAACCCAAGCTGGCTGATTCTAGGCTTGTGCAACCTGGAACGAGGAGTCAGAGTCCAGGGAGAGGGAGGAAGCTACTATGTTGGGCAGGGGGCACAGCCGAGATGGGAGATTAGTTTCATGCTGTGAGACTGAACAAATAAGTAAAATACTAAAAGATGATAAGAGTCAGGTTTCTCAGTGTACTCAGGGCCAAAAACTAGAAAAGAATAAATCTGGAATAAATGCTATACTGTTATATTGGAATTAAAGGCACGGGTATGAACCCATGTGTTTCAACATATATAGATTGTTAAATAAATATAGATATAAATGAGTATATGTATGTGCAGATGTATATATACATACACTTCTTTCTATATATTATATGTATTGTATGTACAGTTACATCTATGTTTAAAATATATATTATAAAATACAGAGAACAACTGATGGTCGCCAGAGGGGAGTGGGGGGAGGGGGGAGGCAAAATGGGTGAAGGAGAATAGGAAATATAGGCTTCCAGCAATGGAATGAATAAGTCATAGGAATAAAAGGCACAGCATGAGGAGTACAGTCAATGATCTTGTAATTGCGATGTTTGGATACAGACGGTAGCTACACTTGTAGTGAGCATAGCATAATGTATAAACTTGTTGAATCACTATGTTGTACACCTGAAACTAACGTAACATTGTCAACTATACTCAAATAATAAATGTAAATATATACACATACACATTTACATTTATATTTGTGTCTGTATCATGGTTCTGTCCACTGAAGGGCCTGGGAGCAGTGAAATCCCAATAGTCATGAGCATTTACTAATGCCTCGATCTTGGCTTCGAATAACCATTGCCTACTCAAAGAAACAAGGGCTCTTTGGAGACACAGCTGATGCTAGCCCTGGGATGGGAAAACACTAGCTGGGCCTGCAGTATCTTGTCCTGCCCCAAAGCACAAAAGTGCTAAGAATGAGGAGGATGTGGTAGAAAGACACAAGAGGCATTTAAATAGGCTTTTTCTGGCCAAGAATGGGACGGTTTAAGCATCAAAATAAAATGATGGTAACAAATGTTTACCCATTGAATACAACAAGAAACCATACAGATAAAAAAAAATGAATGAATAAATAGAAAATTTGACAAGAAAAGGAAGATTTATAAGCTTTCAAAGCACCTCCCCATAAACTACTTATTAACTTACAAAGAGGAAAAGAGTATCTTACAGTCGAGACGCTTGACAGGCACCACCTTAATTAAGGGATCAAAATGAGCGTTATCAGTAATGTAACAAATCAAGATTGTAAGCCACCTCACCGGATGCAGTTAAAAGAAACACAGTAACTCTTTGGGGTTATTTTTTGCCAAAGGTCGATAATCCGATTTTAATTATCAAGAAACATCGGGGGCACCTGGGAGGCTCAGTCGGTTGGGTTATCTAACTTTGGCTCAGGTCATGATCTCACACCTCGTGGGTTTGAGCCCTGCCTAGGACTCTATGCTGACAGCACAGAGCCTGGAGCCTGCTTTGGATTCTGTGTCTCCCTTTTTCTCTCTGCCCCTCCCCCGTCATGCGCCCGCCCTCCCTCTCTCTCCCTCCCTCTCTATCTCTCAAAACTAAATAAACATTAAAAAAAATTTTAATTAAAAAGAAAGAAACATCAGACTGACCCAAAGCAAGGGGCATTCTATAAAATAACTGCTTGTAATATTCAAAAGAGCCAGGGCCATGAAAGTCTAGACTGAGAAACTGCCTAGACTTGAAAGACACTGCAAAGACGTGACAACCAAATACAAAAAGGGATTGTGAACATAATCTTTTGCTATAAAATACATTAGGAGGACCCCTGGACAAACCCGAATACAGCTTGAGGGTGAGATGGCCGCCATGTATCAGTGTTAATTTTCCGATGTTGATGGTTGCATTGTGGTTCTGGATAAATGAGTGTTCTTGTGTGTAGAAAATACTTCTGTCCAGAGGTGATAGGGCATCAGGCTAGAAACTTAATGAGGAAAAGAAGAGTTCTTCTGCTGTTCTTCCAACTTTTTTATGTAAGTTTGTGGTTGTTCCAATATTTAAAAAAAAAAAACAAAAACAAATGATGAGCGACTGTTCCGAGCCGTGTAACCACCTTCAAGGATAGGGTCAAATTTGCAAGTGCTAGCTACACCTAAGGGAACCGTTTCCTTCCCCCAAGAAAACACTCTGAGTATTTTCAGTTGCTGAATATCAAATGTTTATTCCTTAATTTCCTACTACTGCTAAAATCTATTTCTTGAGTAGCTCCTCTTAAAACAAGTCTTTATTTCATAGAAATTGTATCATTTAATAATCCACTTCGAAATGTCCAGTGCTGAGGATGAGGATGCTTTAGAGCACAGTATGGAAACCAGGCCAGGTGGACCCCAATGAAGGCTGTACTCCCCACGCCAACCCCCCACCCCCAAATCTGCAAACAACTCAGGGAACAGCTCTGCAGAGCCAACAAGGTTGTCCAAGTCAGCTGGAAAAACACCACCAAACTTGATTCAAATTACAAATGCAGTACTGTACTGTACGTATCCATCATTACGCACGCTTACAAGAATATAAGTATGCGTAATGACATATCTGGTCTTACTTTTAAAGTAAACTAGACACAGGCACCTACCAATTTTAAAACTACTGAATAGCCCAACTTTACCTAAGGTTAAAAATGTTGTTGCATATACATTGGCTGCTTCAGAAGCATTGGGCATGCAAACAGGAAGCAGAGAAAATATTCCAGCTAAGACCAATCACATATTATATGTATTTAAGAATCTTTCCAGCCAAATTGCATTCAAAGGAAGACTATCTAGAAGGGCCAGGGCCAGTTTCTAGGAGAAGGAATCCTGCTGATGTTCCCTGGCACATCTGTGCCTCCTCCAAGACCCTGGAGGTACAAATGCAGGCAGATTCACCATGGTCCCCAGGGTGACGTCAGCTTCTGGGGGCAAGAGCAGCTGGTTGTCCTTGGCTCACAGGAGTCTCTTGAGCCTTGCAATTTCACCCAGGTCTGGATGGCTGCTCCAGGCTGATGGGGCCATTTCAACCTGTCAAGCCAGGAGGTCATCTGGGTTATAGTCTGTCAGTGACCTCCAGGAACTACAGCTTTCCACTAAATGGATCATTGGCTCTACCCCCCGGGACAATGTTGGGCAGTGAAAGATGGTTTTGTGGGTTTGTTTGTTTGTTTGTTTGCAATTTTAAGATGACCTATAGAAACAGCCTCGCTTGGAATTAATAGCACCATGAAAACATAGATAATGATAGAAAACAGACTCATACAATAAAGTCACTTCTGATTCTAGGCAATGTTTTCTACCACTAATGTGGTAGAAACAAGTCAACAAAGTAAATCATTTTAACTGAATTTTGGGAAAATAAGAGGTCTTTCTGGAACAAAAATATTCTTGTAGGGAAAATATAGGCAAATTATATTCATTGGGCTACAATTAAATGTATATAATATGTGTTTTATTGAGCAGCAGAGGGGAAAAATGTAGATAAAGCTCCCTACTCAAGAATGTCTGTCGGAGCACCTGGGTGGCTCAGTCAGTTAAGGGCTGACTTTGGCTCAGGTCATGATCTCACGGTCTGTGAGTTCCAGCCCCGTGTAGGGCTCTGTGCTGACAACACAGAGCTTAGCGCCTGCTTCAGATTCTGTGTCTCCCTCTCTCTCTGCCCCTCCATGCTCATGCTCTTTTTCTCTCAAGAGTGAATAAACATTACAAAAAATTGTTTTTTAACAGAATGCCTGTCAAGTAGTCATGTAGAGTATTTTAAAAAGGAAAACTGAAGGCAGAAGAAGGCATCTAAACTCTTGGGAATAGAGGACTGGGGTTCAGATGTTGGAAAAGAGTACTGTGCACTAACCTATTGTAATAGTACAATTACATGTTGATACCTCAGAAATAAAATAGCTATAATTTCGAAGCACCTTCCCCTACTGTGTGGCTAAAAAGGAATGCTCAGCCCTAGAGGAAGAAGAGGTAGTCTATAGGTGAAGTGCAGAGAGATACTGGCCGTTGGCGGCCCATTTGCTTTGCAGATTCGGTACCCACGGCATCTTTTAAAAATATCTGGAGATGTGTTTGTTCTCCTGGCTGGTGCATTGCTAGAAGCAGATATGAAGATAGGAATTCCATCCCAGTGAGGTCTATTTGTTGAGCACACACGAGCTGGGCTTTCTGTAAAACTAATTGCAAGAGGGTGTTTTTGATAACCCAACAGTACCGAAGCAGCCTTTTAAAACCCCTGTTGACCGATAGTCACTAGTCCAGATTGAACAGAACACCAGCAGAAGATGCATGTACTCAAATCAAGTCTGACTCTCTGTGGTCCAGGGGACGTGGGAATCTTGCGCTTCAAGTCAGAGGGGACCTGGCCCACGTGGTTCATGCCTGGGTGCCACAAAGTTCCAAATTATGAGTCACACCTATAACAAAATGTAGTACAACATTTTTAAAGGCACTCTGTTCCAATTCCCTTCAACAAGTTTGTCCCTTTCATCTGACTCTTGTACACACACATGCACGCACACAGACACACACACCATCCAAACTCTATGCTTCAAGACTCAGCACCAGCTCCATATTTGCCGTGAAGTTTTACCCAGCCTCCTCTTAACTCCTGTAATAAACATGACCTGAACTCTCGACTTCACAACTGAGGACTTTTGACACTATCGTATGATTCTACCCTCTATGTAAACACATCAGCTCTCCCAATGACATTACAGACTGAAGACCAGGACTTGCTTGAGTCTCCCCTCTCTCTACCCAACACAGATCACGTGGCCTGGTACTACTTACATAATCATGCAATAAATACTTGACAGAGGTGCTGAGACATGCTCTGCTTGAACTTGTGTACGCATATTGCTTTCAGAATACAGAGGAGAGACCCATCTACCTTCAAGAAGCTTACACTATGGCCATTTTCAGTGATTACAGTTCGTAGGTGGGATGTGAAATAGCCCGACTCTGATCCCAGCCACAGCTGGGGTAGACACTTCTGTACATGCTGTCCATTCTAGCACAAGAGTCCCACCATGCATTACTCTGCTTTCTGTCTCAGGGATTTCTCTGTAGACTTGGGAGCCAAGCATAGAGCATGGCTCCAGGATGGATGAGGGAAAGTTCGTGGACCCTACAGGCAACTCCAACCCAGTGGGGATGGGATCCACTGGATAAATACCCCACTTGCCATCCTTCAGAAGAACAATTCTTGGAGACACCTGTACACTCCTCAGAGGTTCTGTGGCCTCCAGCTGAGATCTCAGTAATGCAATCTCCATTTGCTTTTCCTTCTTGCCTGTCTTACTCTCCCTGCTCCCTTACCCGTTTTCCCTGGGGTCACATTCTAAATAAACTACTTCTACCCAAGTCTCTGTCTCGGGGTCTGCTTTTTCAGGGATCCAAACTAAAACAGACACATTATAACACACACAGGGATTAAAAGAAAAGATTTTTTTTAATAGGCAAGTAAAGAAATGCATGCTCTTTGTTAGTGACAAAGCTATGGTGGGAAATCTCTAGGGAACCAAAAGAGTCACTGAACATCCTGGGCATCAACTTCTCTCATCCAAAAAATGAGGAGATAGACTGAAGGAGCATTTAGATCCCTTCCCATGCTTTAATTCCATGATTACAGGTGCTGTTTGCATCCTTTTTATACAAGTCCTTTACCACTGAATGGTGGCAGAACTTCGGGGCCTTCTGTCTCATCACATATCTCCTCTCGTCGCAACCTCAAAGGCATAAGACTTACAAATTTTCCACAAGGGATGCTTTAGACTTTCTAGATGCTCCTCAGCTTGATGAACCTCAAACTGACAGTGTTCGCTCTGAATGGGAAAAGTCAAAGGTCGCACCTAACTGGCCTTGTTCAGCCATCCGGGCCCTCTCTCCCTCCACCTTCTTTTCACCAGAATAGCAAGAGCCTCACCAGCTCCTCCTCCTTCCCCTGGTAGCACCAGCCCAGATCTCTCTTCCAAATCTCTGTCCAAAATCCTTCATATACCCCTGCATTTCCCACAGCTCCTTACTCAGCAATTTGTACCTCACTGATCTCCAATAACTGCTTATCAGGTGAATTAGAGAACTTTTTACCAAGGAAGACTTAGAATCATGCTAGCTTTTGAAATACCAATTAGAAAACTGCGGTGATACAATAGTGGTTTTATGGATCCTTTGCTCGTTTATTTTTTAATAGTGGTTTACAAATACATTGTTTGTCTGCAGTGTACTGCAGAAAAGGATAAACTTGAAGTGAAAAATTCAAATTTCCACAGAAAAGACTAAAATGAGGCCAGAGAGACATTTGGCCTTCCTTTAAAATAAGAAATTAAGGGCACATGGGTGGCTCAGTCAGTTGAGCATCTGACTCTTGGATTTCAGCTCAGGTCATGATCTCATAGTTCTATGGGATGGAGCCCCGCGTCAGGCTCTGAGCTGACAGTGCAGAGCCTGCTTGGGATTCTCTCTGCCCCTCCCCTATTTGTGCTCATACACGTGCTCACTTGCTCTCTCTCTCTGTCTCTGTCAAAATAAATAAACTTTAAAAATAAATAAAATAAAAAGTTAAAATTCCAAGCATACTGTGAAGAACACTCTGCTCTACCCAAACCCCCAGATGGAGCCATACCTGTGAGGCCAGGTTTCTTGGCTGTGTTCACTGCTGCCATAAACATGTATTCACTGTTAGGGTCATGCCCACTGGATCGATACTTCTGAAAGAGAAGTCAGAAACATGGTTTGTCAGCTGCTCTTCCTCATCTCCATCCCTGGTCTTTTTTCACTGTTTCCTATTCTTGGTTGAAGTGATATGCGACAAAAGCGTTAGCATGTGGTGTAGGCTCCTGACTTCCAGCTAAGTAGGAGACCAATATGAAAAGGGCTTTAAATAAAAAGACCCTTCTGCTGAATTTCCTCCCTCATTTTTGTTTTTATTGTTCCCTTCTTTTGTAGATTTAGATAGCGAGCCCTATCTCACTCTATTCTTTATCTCTCTTTTTGAATTCCATTCTGGCACAGATACACCCATGGTCTGCCAACTGATACCTGTGTAAAATGCAGAATGGTGTAAGTTCTCTCATTGAGAACCTATATTATGAAAGACTGGAAATAACACCCCCCAGCACAGAGAGATTGTTTTGTCATTGTTGAATTCTCTTCCTAGTTTTTCTATGGTCTTCTTCAAAAACAGTCCTAACAACTTAGCCATGGAAAGAAGTTGGCCATTTACTTCTCAGCTAAGACTGACACCTTATAAGACTTTCTCACTGATTGTTTAACTGACAAGTTGAGTGAAACGAAACTGTTTCATCTTTGTCCTGACTCTGGAAACTTAGAATCAAATTTGCAGCCCATATTTAATGATTCTCAGAAGTCAGAAGCATCTATTTTTATGTTTCAATCTTCGTCCTGACTTTTTGTTTTCTTGGCCCCAATTCCCTTATCTTTTTTGAATAATAATAATAACAGCTCTTTCCATAAGCCCTCAAATCCTTTTTTAGAACGAAGCAGCTATAGAATAAGCTTCTGTTCCAAGTTAGTAGTTAGTAGACCTATCTTATGGAAAAGAAAATGTCTGTTAATCAAATCACTCTGGCAAGAACAGTAGGTGCTTTGAGTAAATAACTACTGATATTCTTCAGGAAAGCAGAGGCGAGAAAAATAGAGACATTGCTCACCTTTTTTGTAAGCCAACAAAGAAATACGCATCCAAAAATGTAGACTACAACAAAAGCTGAACACCCTATGGGTAACCAGAACTTCAGCTGGCAGCAAATCTGTGATTCTGGATTGGAAAGGAGACATGTTAAGGAAAAACTGTGAGAAACAAATCTCCTTTTTGGGTGCCGAATCACAAGTTCTTTTACCAAATTCAAAAAAGTGATTTAATCAAATGCAGTTTGCCTTCATTACAATCATGGAATCCAATGCACAGTATATAACACCATCTCAGTATTATAGCAAGCATTTAAAAACTAAAACCTGAAAGATTCTATGCACATAAATGATTACAAATGTGGTTACTAGGAAGGACTTTTTCTGTCTATATTTTTGTAGAAGACTAAGTAGGAAAAGTAATGGTATAAAACTATGGCTTTCAATCCCCTCACTTGATTCCACAAAACCAACACTAACCAAAACCTTAAGTTTTACATGACTAGAGCCAATGGCCATTAGGCCACAGATTTGGGTAATTGTCGTAAATTTTTTCCTGATTTTTAATGGCCTATGCGTTTTAAAGACAACATGACCTATTTTTTTTCTTTTCTTTTTTGTGTTTTGGAGAGGGAGAAAGACAGTGCGAGGAGGAGGGGCAGAAGAGGGAGAGAGAGAATCTCTAGAAGGTGGACTATGAGATCATGACCAGAGCCGAAATCAAGAGTCAAACACTTAACCGACTGAGCCATCCAGGCGCCCCAACGTAACCTATTTCTAACTCAATAGTGTACGTGATCAAATTGCATATTACTGATTAATACTAATTATTAATAATAATAAATTATCTCTTGCATATTTTTATGATAAATTATTGCCATCAACTGCACCAAAATGAACTCCACAAACGATACTTATTTGCTTAGGGGCACCTGAGTGGCTCAGTGGGTTAAACATCCAACTCTTGGTTTTGGCTCACTCAGGTCATGATCTCACAGTTCGTGAGTTCGAGCCCCATGTCAGGCTCTGCACTGACAGTGTGGAGCCTCCTTAGGATTCTCTCTTTCTCTCTCTCTCAAAATAAAATAAATAAATAAACTTTAAACAATAGTCATTTGCTTAGTTGTTTTCATTAGTGAGAAAAGCTGCTAAATGGGAACGTACTCTTAAGTCTGAAAGATGAAAACAGTGTCTTACCATAAATATTCAAATATTCTCTGCTAATATTCTTCTTCTGAAAAGGAGGAGGATCAAAAATTGACAGTTCGCAGGTGTAATAGCTGGCATGAGAATTGTCCAAATTATACAGGAAAAAGGAGACACTGTCATTGAATAACTGAGTTTGACAGAATTTCAGGTTCTTAATGGACACCGTGTTACCACTTTCTTTTGTCTTAGTGAGATCACAGAGTACTTCTGTCCCTTTTAGCAACTTCATTTTAAATTGCAAGGCAATCTCACTGAATTTGCATGAAATTTGTATGCCTCCATCGTGAAAGGTAAACATCTCGGACTTGGCAGAATCATTGATTTCTCCTGGATAAAAAGGAAGAAAACAAAGCAAAAGTGACATTTTATGAAGATGTTACTCTATTAGTTGTATTTGAGCACAAAATTTATCTCTTCTCTTCATAAAGTCACCTCTATTGCACCAAAATGAAAGAATTTCACAACCAAAAGAACAGGACAACAAATAAAACTCTGCCCTCGAAAATAACCTGACCAGAAATTTGCTTGTTACATATGAGTATATAATATGTAATATATTAAATAATATATTTACACAGGGCAGGCACCATATTATCTGATTATGCTTTTATATTGGAGACAGATGATAAACAAATATGTAGTAAAACACCTGAATTAATGCTAGGAAGGGAGTACTGTTCAAATAAAGGTGGGGGGTTGGGTTCTAATTTTGTTTATAGAATCAAATAATGCCCTTTTGATTTTTAAAATTGAAATTGAAGGAGGATTAGCACTTTGTCAAACAAAGGAAGATTTGGGACGAAATTTGGGGAAAGATGTAACTTACAAAAAAACTTTAAAAAGTGAAAAATAGCTTAAACTAAAAAATGAACAATTATATATAAATATATATTTACACTATACCCTCCTGTCAGAGAGTAAAACAACAGATGAATCATTTTCAAATGATAGAAATGTGTCTTCTCTGAATCTGATCCATTGAGAATTGAATCAAGGTCTGATGACAATGGTAAGGCACCAGATTTTTGTCAATTTCTTTTTCTTTTTTTTTTTTTTTCCAATACATCTTAAGCTTTCTAGGAAGCCAAGGGTATTTTTGAAAGCTACACAGAGGTCACACAAGGAAGGAGCCAAAATGGTTTTAGTCTGGTTGCAGATTCTGAGTTACTGGGTTATAAGTAACTGTTCTCTTCTGTTCCTTTTTCCTTTTTTTTTATATGAAAGTTTCTCACTGAAATTGGGAAAATTATTAGCATGAAAGTTTTTTGCTTAAGTTTTGAAATCTGTCTTTATTCTTAAAGAGAACATAGCAAGTAAAAAAAGAATGTTGAAGGAAAAAAAGCTGTCCAGCCCTATTGTGAAATAGACATACTATCTGTGTATATTTCTCCTCTATCTTCCAGATATACACTTGTTTTATAGACATATTTCTTTGTGTTCTGCTATTGTCACTTAATGATATATCATAAAAGTTCCATTTCTTACATAGTTGTCACAGTCATCCTTTTTAATGACTGTATGTATATTAGGACATAATGTTAATATATAATTTGTTAAAGCATTCCAGTGTTGAATATTAGGGTGATTTTTAGCACTTTGCTTTTATGACCTAGTCAAACTGTTTAAACATGTTATGGCGCTACGTATTGCCATGTTGCTTTCTGAAAGAACTTTAATTTATGATATGACTAAACATGATGCAGGTTGGTTCACCTGCCACAACTCTGCTTGCACTAATTGTCCTAATTTTATTTAAGATTTAGCACAGTTCCTTATTTTTCTTAATATCTACAGGCTTTAATTTAGATCTCTTTAATTTAGATTCCATATTACAAGGGGATAGATTTTCAACTTGGAGATTTGACTGTGAAAATATGCCTAAGTGTTCTAGTGTTTTGGTTATGACCACCCAGATTCCAACAAATTCCCACACCCAAACAACCAAAATTGCTGAACAAAAGGTCTAAAAAAATATTATTAAAAGGCTTAAGAAGGTTTAGCAAAGAGAAGAAATTGGTGGGTTAAATCTGAAGAACCAGAACTCAGAGAGATGAGCAGAGTTTAGAAGTTGCTTTTACTCTGAGTGTTTGCTGTTCTCCCAGGTTCAAATTTTTGTTTTCATGCCTCAACTCCCAGAGTCTTCAAAGTGAGAAACCTAGAAGGCCATCCTCTCCTCAGTAAGTTGGGATCTCAAACGGTTCCCTTCTTGGACTCCAGTTAAACCAGAAGGAAACCAGCTCAAATCACTTCAATGGTCCAGAAAACCTAAATCCTTGAATTTTGTTCAGGGTCATTTTGGATCATTATTACCCTTAGGCTACTGAGAGTAAAAATGCAACTATTCTAGGAAGAAAGATTTACATCGTAGGCCTCAAATCCTATCCACAAATAATATTTAAAAACAATGACAAGCACACCAAAAAAATTAATCAGACATGCAAGGAAACAAAACAAACAATGGACTACAGAAACAAAGCCCCCTTAAAGTCCTATATTTGAATTGTCAGATCCCAAAACAAACAACGGGGCTTACTGCATTTAAGGCAGTAAAAGACAAACTTCTAATAACCTCTGCAAAGCAAAGGAAACTAAAAGAAACAAACAAAAAACCTAATTTGAAAAAGAATCAAATAAAACTGGCAAAATCCATACTATGATTAAAAATTCCATGGATATTTTCAAAGCATATTAGAGCTAAAGAGAGAATTGATGAACTAAAAAATTAGGTTAGAAAAATTATTTGAAGTGCAGTCATCATCCAGATTCAAGAATCCCAACAAATCCCTAGCAGATTTTTTTTTAAATGCGCACATCTAGATACATCATAATGGAAATCCTAAAAGCAGCCATAGAAAAGAGACACTTTACCTTCAGAGAAGGAACTATTAGACTGGCAGGTGATGTCTCAACATCAACAATAAAAAACAAAGTGAAATAGTAAAGGTATGTATAATGAGAAACTTTGGTAAGTGAAGTATGCATGTTGTGATTTCTTGCCTAATGACTAAGAAAATAGAAACAGGGGGCCAGGGTGGCTCAGTCAGTTAAGTGTCCAACTTCTGCTCACGTCATAATCTCCTGGTTCGTGAGTTCGAGCCCCGTGTAGGGCTCTGTGCTGACAACTCAGAGCCTGGAGCCTGCTTCAGATTCTGTGTCTCCCTCTCTCTCTGCCCCTCCCCTGCTCATGCTCTGTTTCCGTCTCTGTCTCTCTCTCTCAAAAATAAACAAACAGTAAGAAAATTTTAAATAGAAAATATAACCTAAATGGATATCACAAAGTTCAGTCTAATGGTTTTACATAAAGGGAAGGAAATGTTGGATCAGGAAGCAAAACCCAGGGGGTAGAAAGGCTTCTGTGTGTTGACAGTGTTTTATTTCTTGAGATGTGGTGATTATGCAGGCAAGGTAGTATGCTTTATAATTATTTATTGTGCACTGATGTTCAGTCTTCTGTATAGATGTCTTGTTCTAGAACAAAAATTTGTAACTATACAGAAGGAAAATAATGCTTGTCTTCATTTTAAAAATAGAGGAAACAATGTAAGCAAAAGGCAAAAGGAAATAACTGATAGCATGGATATATATGCAGTCTACATTAGATTAAAATGAAAGATATTTTCTTGGGGACTTATTTATGTGAAAATAAATTATGCTGCATGACTATTGCTCTGATGTTTAGGACTCTGTATTCTCCTGCAGAGAATAAAATCAGTGGGCTGGTTCTCAGTTTCTTTAGAAATGTCCAGGGCACCGGCGGGGGAAGGGGGAGGGAGGTGGCTCAGTTATTTAAGCATCCAACTTTGGCTCAGATCATGATCTCACAGTTTGCAAGTTTGAGCCCCATGTCGGGCTCTGTGCTGACAGCTCGGAGCCTGGGACCTACTTTGGATTCTTTGTCTCCCTCTCTCTGCCCCTCGCCTGCTCATTCATTCTCTCTCTCTGTCTCTCTCTCCCTCCCTCCCTCCGTCCCTCCCCCCTCCCTTCTCTCCTCTCCCCTCTCCCTCGCTCTCTCAAAACTAAATATTTAAAAAATTTTTTAAAAATGTCCAGAGCAAATTTTCCCAGGACTTTAGAATGGCAGCAAGTAAACCACAGAGATCTTGGGGCCAAAGTGTCTGTGGCCACCATGTAAACACATAGACATAGATGCCCTATCTTGTATTTCTGAAGATGTTTTGTCATAAGCTTCTCTTCTCTGCCCCATGCCCACACTATGACCCACAACCCAACACAAGATGAAAGGTAATGATCAGCAGTGCAGAGTAGTGGAAGATGCAACGCAGTGATTCCCAAGGAAATGAGAGGAAAATTCTGGCCTTGCCATAGCAAGTCTGTGACTCTGGTACCCCTCTGACTTTGGTCTCTTCATCTGTGAAATAAGGAAGTACTAAAACATCTTCAAGTTCTTTCCAACACTTACTCACTAGGGATCCAGGATCAAAACCTATCCAAAGAAGATTGCAAGATAAGCTATTACTTTGTTGTTGTTCCAATAGTCTTCTCTGTTCCAGAATCTTACTGGGATATTCCAGGGGGGTCACGAGAAATAAATTGAATGAGACTATCTTCCTTGCCTGTGAAAGTGTTTAGGTAGGGCTAAGAAGACTACCTAAGTTTTTCTTGAGTGATAATGCCAAGGATGTGTGCCATTGACATCAGAGGAGTAGCTGGGGATTCCAAAGTGTCATTTCTTCTGGGCACTCTGACTTGTTCACTTTATCATATTTAATCTAGGTGGGCTTTTTATTATTAAAGATAGTGATAAGAAGCCTGACTTATGTTTCTACATAACCAATGCTTAAGCTTTTCATCTGGAAAACCATTTGACAACTCTAAGTCTGCAATTTGAATGTGTTCAATTAAAAGAAGCAGGTATGACATTTAATCAAGTGCTTCATAATTACTTTGGCACTTGTAGAACAGATATGCTTCAGTACCTGATTAAAAATGCTCCTTAGCCTTTGGAGACATGTGAAAAAACACCATCAAAAGGAGATCATTCCTATAACCATGGCTAAAGCATTTAGCGGGTAGGCAGATAATTTAAGGAAAATCAGAATGTATTGGTTTCTTATAACTGCAGAAACAACTAGAATCTTTTCTTCACCCTTCCTGGATCTTCTCATCTCCAGATCTAATATTCAACTGGGATTGCTGGTGTCATAACACCAATTTTTATAGCCAGTGTTCATTTTGGTTGAGTGTCAGATCTGTTTGATCAGTTCCTCTGCTGTACCAGAAGTTAAAAATTGTGAGAGTTCCCCTCACCAATCTTTCTTCTGTTCTTTCTTCCTTTATCTCAGCTTACTTTTTTTTTTACATACCAC